CCCCACCCCCGCGGCGCCCGCCGCGCCGCCCTCCCCGCCGCCGTCCACGCCGCCGCCCTCCAGCAAGCCATCCTCTTCATCCTCATCCACATCCACAAATCTCTCCTCGTCATCCGCGCCCTCCTCTGGCTGCTGCACGCCCGCCCACAGCGCGGGCTGGGCCCGCAGGACCTCCGACAGCAGCAGCAGCGCGCCGGCGGCCCAGCTGGGCGGCGCGGCGGCGCAGACCTGCAGCAGGCGCTTGGCAAAGGCCGCGCACCTGGGTGGCGTCGGCGTGGGCGCGGGCATGGGCGCAGGTGAAAAGCGGCGAGGGGAGGGGCTGGGGGTGCATTGTTCACGCACATGCCCGTGTGTGCATGGAGGTTTGAGAGTGGCGTCGGGTGTTCGCGGGCGCAGGCTGCGCGCAAGGGCGGCGCATTTAGGGGCCCGGCCCCGGCCCCGGCGTGCGCGTGCGCGCACCTCTTGGGTGAGGGATCAGCCTTCATAGCTTTGAACAGCAGCGCCAAAAACTGAGGCGCCTTGGAGCCCGCGCGCGCGCCCTCTGACAGCATGGCTGCGTACAGGGAGCGGTAGAAGCGGTCGCTGGCCGCATTTCTGCAGTAGAGGAGTGGGGAGGGAGGGGGGCCGGCAGGCCAGGTTCGGCGGCTTCGGCGAAAGGAGGGTGCTGCATTCTGATGCTCGACTGTGCTGTCGCGGGCTGGCACCTTGGGGCGCGGGCCCAGCAGTGCCAAGAGCCGGGACCAAGCAGGGTTAAGTGGTGGGGGACAGGCGCGTGGATGCCGGCGCGCGCCTCGTGGCGTGGGCGGGCGGACGCGCGTGGGTCGTGTGCCCCGCGCATGCCGTCGCGCATGCCCCGGCCCACTGCGGCGGGGGGTGCCGCAGAAGTGACAATCGCAACGATACGTGACATGGAACCATGCGCGGCGCCAGCAGGACTGCGCCCTGTCCCGTGCCGGGTGCCCCCAGCGCAGACCCGCGGCGCACCTGCCGGAGAGCAGCTGGAAGAGCAGCAGCAGCGCCTGCAGCGCGACGGTGAAGGGCGCAGTGTGCACCAGCCGGAACAGCGCCTCCCCGTGAGCCTCCACCAGGGGCTCAACCTAAGAGTGTGTGTTGATGTGGAATGTGAATATAGATGTGTGTGTGAGTGTGTGCTCACGTGTGTGCGTGTGTGTGTGTGAGTGTGTGTGTGTGTGTGAATGTGTGCGTGTGAGTGTGAGAGGGAGAATGTGTGTGTGTAACTGTCTGCGTGCAATAGCAGGCCAGTGCGTATCGTGCTTGCGTGCTTGCATAAATATGTGCTTATGAGCTGCCATGCGTGCAGCAGCGGGCCGGTACATGCGCGCATGGCCCCACGCACAGACGCCAAACCCCCGGCCCACCCCCCTGCCGCCCCGCACCTCGGCCGCGTCGACATAGGGGAACGCGCGCCTCACGCCCGTGATTAGGGCGCTCAGCATGCGCGCGTCCAGCTCCCCCGCACCCGCCCGCGGCCCCTCTTTGACGCCGCCGCCGCCGCTCTTGCTGCCGCCCTTGCCGCCGCCCTTGCCGCCGCCCTTCCCGCCTTTCCCGCCTTTCCCGCCCTTCTTGGCATCCCTGTGTCTGCCCTTGTCCTTGCGCTCCTCCTGCATTGAGGTGGTGACCAATCGCGGGAGCCATGCGAGTAAGCTCACGGCTAATAAACCAGAGTCACAGGCCCGGGCGAGCGCGCCGTGCTCGAGGCCGCGCACGCCCCCGCAGAGCAAGGCAGCAGCGCCGCAGGATGCGGCCCGGCAGCGTGCGCGCTCGCGGGTGTGTGCCGCGGGCGGATGCGTTGCATCCGGTTGCGGTGGGTGCTTCGCGCGCACAATCTGCGTCTTGAGGGTCGCGGCCTGTCCCATCTTGCCCTCCAGGATTAGGCCAAACAGCCTGAGGGTCGGGGAGGGCGGGAGAAGGAGTCGAGGGTGCGGCCACTCGCGAGCAGAAGCTACGCGCATGTGTGCGGCTGCATGTGTGGCTGTGCATGCACAACTCAACACACACACACGCACACACATACGCACACACGTGCGCGCACACACACACACACACGCAACGCACATACGCAAAACACACACGCACACACACTTGCGCAAGCTCAATCGTTTTGACTGATGCGCGCACACCAGACCTGCCGGATGCAGCACACCCCCCTTCCCCCCACACACACACACATGCAGCGGCCCCCCTCTCCCCCTGGCCCCTGGCCACCCGCCTGAAGTATATCTCCACCAGCTTCTTGGCCAGCGCCCCTCCCCCCTCCTGCGGCCTCGCGCTGAGCGCGAGCTGGTTGAGCGTGATGGCCGCGTAGTAATGAGCGCGCTCTGACAGGCCGGGGCGGAACACAAAGCGCTCCAC